TTAGCCAGTCATCAATGCCAATGTCAGGAAAACAGGAAAGAAAAGAAAAGAAAAGAAAAGAAAAGAAAAGAAAAGAAAAGAAAAGAAAAGAAAAGAGCACAGAGGGAGTTCCTAACAAAAAAATGCAGGCTGCCCGTCTCCTAGTTCTAATATAAAGCCATTTTCTTTCCTTATTATACCAAAATGCACGCAGTGTTCTTGTACATTAGGAAATTACAGCTACCCGCTTTCGGAAGACTTTAAGCCCAAAGCTGTCTTTGTGAAAGCCCTTTGTGAATTTTGTAACTCCATGCACAAAGCATGCGGTTTAATGATTTCTAATACTATTTTAGTTGATACTACAAAATACATGTTCACTTTTGATGGGCTTCACAATTTCCGCTAATCCCTTTCGGGCCTTAAATCCTAAAAAACAAAAACAAAAGCAAAGCAAGCAAACAAACGAAAACCCCAAACATTTTCTTAGAGAAGTAGTTTTGGCAAAAGGCAAGCGCCTAGGTATTTCACTGAAGCCGGGCAAGACGTCGAAAGCATTTTGGAAACGAGGTTGCTCCTCAGGGTGAAAAATATTACAACAGCCGCACCTCTAAAAGCTTAGCGAAAACAGAAGTAGACACAGGACTACCAGTTTTGTACACGAAAGGAGCTTTTTGCTACTCATCACCGTTGAGAAATGGAGAGTGAACGCCCAGGTGAAACAGCATCCACCCGGGGTCCCGCGGGCGGCGGCCTTGCGGGGGGTGGGCTGCTTCTGCGCCTGCGCGCTGTTTAATGATTGGCTCTGGGACGGCCGCGCCCCCACGGGGGCCAGTTGGCGCCCCGCTCTCTCTGAGGGACCCCAGAGGGCCCTGTGGACAAGTGTGTCCTCCGCATCAGGGAGGCGCCTGCACGCAGGAGAAACCGGGCCTGCGCGAAAATTCTGGCTAGAAAACTCCTCCTTGACAAGTCGAGTTCTAAACGGCATGAAAACGGAGTGCGAGTTCCATGAGGCGAATTTGGAGCATGTGTTTCCTTTGCTCTGCCCTCCCCGCCAGCGTAAGAAATGAAGGCCGTGCTCCCAGACCCGAGGGCTGAAACCCAGGAGTGGACTGTTAACCGCTGCCCGAGCTCGGTGAGTTGACCCTAGCCGTGGCTTCAGACACATTTCCTGATTTCTGACATCTCCACCCAACAAGACGTTCTAATCTGAGATACAGAATTGGTGAACCTGTGTCTGACCCTCAGTGGGCTTCCACTGACATCTTGGTCCTGGTAAAAGCTGGTGGAAAAGGGGACAGCAATTTCCTCCAGTGTTTTAGTCCGATCCTCAGGCTCTTGTAGCTTCTCTGTAACGCGGAGAAGAGGTCTACCTTTGTAAGGTGGACTTCCAAGAGGGATGTAAAGGAGGACAACTTTATCAACCCTTTTCAGGAGAATAAGGGATTTCTTTGAAGGAGTTTGTATTCTGTTTCCCAGTAATTACTGGGTTTGTATCCTGACCCATTCACAGGTTCTAGAGAAGCATGGATCATTAAATTCAACAATTTTTTTCCTGTTTATTAAACAGGCTCATCATGAGCGTTATGTGGACATTTGGTTAGATATTTGTTTGTTACTAAGAACTAGAACTTCACCTAATTCTGTCATTCAATTCCTTTCACTAGTTTTAAATGGGTTGCACTTAAGTTGAGTAAAACTTGGAGCTGAGGTTTTACTGTTTACATCAGATAGATATAAACTCTTGTTAGGTTTGGTTGTTTAAACTAACTGCTGAAAATTTTAAAGGGGCTGCGAATAACTCTGTGTCGTCTGTCCACGTGTTAAATGACCATATTTCTTGTATGTTATTGATGAAATCAGACAGGACTCAAAGGAAGAATCATACATTGCTTTGATATGGACAATTTTTTCCCCCTTTAATACATTAAGTCTGCTTTGAGTGTGTATGTGATTGACTAGCTCCTTGCCTTTGGCAGATGAAGCCACTGCCCCAGCTTAAAGTCCAGCCTTCCCTGATTCATAGTTTCATTTCCTTAAATGCCTCCCCACCCAAGGAGAGCCAGCCAGTTTACTTCAACATTCACATCTACCTGTGCGTGAGCCCTGACCTGCTTTCTCAGCAATATTGGCTGTAGTTCTATATATAAATCATGCACTCCTGTCAAATGAGCTTCTTGTTTTCCCTTGAAGGAGGCACTGTACAAATTGTTAGTCAGAAGACAGCTATCAGCCACAGCCTACATTTTACTCATGCTAATCTTCCCCTTGGCAAGCCTCTCCCTCATTCCTACCTGGAGAAATTCTGCCCATTCCACAAGGCTCAACACAAGGGCTGCATTCTCTATAATCTTTCCAGTGGAGGGAGGTCTTTTCCATATTTGAGCGCCACCCCCACCATGATAACTCCCTCAGCTCGCCTGTCACTTTCACTATTGTTCTTTATTTACATATCCTATTTCCCCTATTTCTTATGCCACAGCACATAAGCTCTGCACAAAAAGATTGTTAAATAAATATTTCATTTTCCTTTCATCCATCCACCTATGCATCCCATCTGATCATCAGATACTTATTGAACATTCCCTATATGCCAGTCACATGTCGTTGGCAAAATCTAGCTCTGAAGCTTATCTGTGGGTTTCAACGATATATGCTACTGCAGTTCTCTGCCCTCATGGGAAACAATTTGTTTTTATCATGCAGGAATACTTCTTGCTGTCATTACCAACAATTCCTTATTTTTTAAGTTGCCCCCTTGTTGGCAAATTTAGCAATGCATAGCAGGGATCTGCATTTGTGCACTAAATACACTTCTAGCTTTGTCTAGCCTTTCTATTTATATTTTTATTTGTCCCAGTTTCCTCACTGAATTCTTTTGTATTATATATATTTTGATAGCCACCTCACATCCTCTTGAAATGAAGCAGAGTACTAATAAATAGAATACAGTTTTAAAAAATCAAGTTATTGGCTCCAAACCACAAATCCGCATGATGAAATCTCACTGAAAGAGCTCTTGCTATAGAGAATTCAATAAAATATAGATCTTCCTTGGACTCTGTTCAAGGGCTAATTTTCTGAGGTAATTATAGGGTGATCTTACTTTTAACATAGTCCCACAAATGTGGTCTTAAGATAATTAATTAGGAAACACTAATATAATCATTCTAGTGATGAATGGTATTTGAAAACTGCATTGTGAAATCTGGGACTGTTTCACAGAGGCTGATAAATGTGAGGGAAAAACATGTCTATTTATCTTGAAAAACTTTTTCTATCATATTAGCTAATTAAAAAACATTCAGGTCATTGGTGAGTGAGATGACTAATTTACTTTAGGGCAATAAAGAGAGCAAAGCTTAAAAAATATAGAGATGCTGGGGAGTATGTAGCTCAAATGATAGAGCACATGCTTAACATGCATGAGGTCCTGGGTTCAATTCCAGTACCTCCTCTAAAAAAAATAAATAAGTAAACCTAATTACCTCCCTTCCAAAAATAAAATAAAATAAAACTAAGTTATTTTAAAAATATGGAGATGTTATTTGAGAAATGACTCCAAAAATGAGAGTAGTTATAGAGAGGATCTTCATGAAATTAATACCAGTAGGGTTAACCAAAGCATGTGTTCTCTCTTCTTGGGCTACAGAAACCTCATACCTCTCCCACCAGACAATTGTTACTCTAATACCTGCATCTCACTAGTGAAAGGAAGCTCTTTCACTCACTTTAAGATTTTGTTATTTTGCATTCATCTTTCCTTTTGAACACTTTTAATGAATATAGCCCCACCCCATCTATCTGAATGTATCTCACGTTTAAGAGATTGTATTTAAACTAGGCAGATTTGTAGAGTCGTAAGACCAGTTCAGAACTTTGTTTTTACAAAAATTGCTGATAACTAATTCAGTCCCCAAGGATATATTTCACACACCAGGCGCTGTATCTTTATGGTTAAGTTTAGGGAAGAGAAAACACGCCATTGCCAAGCATTACATTAAAATGACAAAATGACCTCAGGAAACCAGAGTTCTTAACAGCTGATACAGTGGAAGGCTTGGTTTATCTACATTCAACATCGTGGGGCTGTGAGCCTCCAGGGTTTAGATGTTACATTTCTTTTTTTCCCATCACTTAGGACTTGGTACATTCTTGATCAGTGTTAGTTTCATAAAAAAAGTTTACCTCCTCTATAATTCCAAAGCATGCCAAGATGGTACAAACTTCAACCTTTAAGAAAGAGTAGACTTAAACATTAGTTGATCTCCTGGAAAATTTTTCGGATAATGCTAGATCCAGTAGACAGACAGAGCAAAGATTCTGCTATTTTGATCCCCTTTTAGGAAATTCTTATAAATATTTTAGCTTGATCCATATTGTGCCTTCACATACATGCATACACATCTCAGGGCAGTGTTGGAATCCCTGTAACCGAAGACTATAATGCACAGACCATATGTTTTCTCTTGTTGCAGATTTTCTCTTCTGACTTGTTTCTGAGAAAATACGTGTGGGTATTTGGCCCAAATTTAGACCTTACCAGGTAGATTTTTCTCTGGATTTCAGTGAAACTGCTCTGGGAAATAGTAGGAAAGATACATGTCTAAAAGAGAGCTACTCCAGGTAAACAAAGTTCAGAAGTGAAATGCGATCTCATGGAATGCAATTACCTAAGTAGCTGTGCTTCAACAGTTTTGTTTTCAGAGTAGCACCCACCAATCAAGTGGTTGCTTTATCTCAAAAAAAATACAGAATGTATAATTTTAGAAATCTGCAATAGAATTTGCAATGTGATCTCAGTGGCTGGGTCACTTCTCCTTGTAAAATTTTTTATCTGATCATAGAACAAACAGCCTACTTCTTCAAGGCGTATTAGTGCCATGAAATCATGCTCCCACTTTGCCATCCTTCATCGTATCAGCAGGAGCTTAGAGTCTGGGTAAGAGAAGTCATGACAGAGCGTTAATTTCTGCCAGTGCCCTTCTGGTCTTCACTGTAAGAGATGGTTATTTAGGTTTTTTCTGGGCATTTAGGTAGAGCGTTGATGGTGCTTCTTACCATATTATTGGGTCTGCATGACTGCTTTACAGTGAGTCTGAAATCTTTAGGGTCCTGGTCTCAGAGTCCCTGACCTTTGCCACATCCTAAAGTTCTGGTTTGGTGACCCGTGAGAACCTTGGCGCATAAAAAGAAGTATGCATCTCATTGAATTTGTTTTTGTGAGATTTCAGGACAAAATGTTGCCTGCTTAGCTGAGGAAGTGCCAAATGCCACCTGGCTTTGGGGAATGACTCTCAGCCTAGCATACTGAGAATAGAGCTGTGCCCTCATGGTCTCAGGTGGTTGAAATGCTGCCTTGTGCCCACCCCCCACCTGCTTCGGCACAACTCCAGGAGTAGCTGCAGCCTCAGTGTGGCCCAAGACCCTGCTTCTTGGGGTCATAGTAAGAAGCCAAAAAGATTCAACCAGCAAAGCAAAGGCCTGGGAAACATTTGCTGCCATCAGCTCTGATGGTTGCACCTAAGATAGAATTTCTTGTAGCTTCTTGTTTAATTTTTTTTAACAAGGGGACCAGTATGGGACCCTGGTTAAACCCTTCGACAGAACTGTCCTGAAGAGCAGAGGTGGCAAATGACAGGCTATGACTGGGGACTAACTTCGGGGACGGCTGGATTTTTGAAATGAGAGCCCAAGAAGTTTCCACCTTCTAGCCCACAGGTTAAGTTACTGAAAATAAATCATCATCATTTCTACATTTCTTGCATGTTCCCGCCTACTCTGGAGAGTAATCTAACTCATCGTTTGCAATCAGGGCCTCTGAGTTCTGTCTGTGTTTGCTTTTGCTCTTCGCTTTGCTGCTTGTCCGGGTGTTTGCCTGCGCATCTGACATTTGCTGGTAATAGAAGCCTTTGTCTTCCGCTGGCCCGCCCCAGTTCTCCTGGCTCTCGCCCTCTGTGGCGTAGGAGAAACCCTCCTCCACCGAGAAGGGGTCGTCCACGTCGTAGCGCTGGTACATGCTTTGGTGCAGGGCTGCTTCTCGGGCGCTGATTTCCAGGGTGCTGTTCCAGATGCCGTATCCAAAATAAATGAGCATACCTGCAGCGAGGGAGGGGGAGGCACAGGTGAATAAGCAGTTGCTTTGGGATCTATGGGACAAGCAAGGAGGTCACTCTTGATGGTGAATGCAGAGCTGGTGGTGGATGTGTTTTCTTCGGTCTACAGTGTTTTGAAAAGACTCAAATTAGATGCCATTTAAAAATTGGGAGATCTTGCATTAAGCAACCCATATTTACAGCTTCCCCTAAAAAAGTCAGAAGGTCTGACAACACTGCACCCATATTCCTATCTGGAGACTTTTGGCTGGAGGTGAAAACTGACTGCCTCTTTAGACAGGATATGGGCTCTTGAGGTCTCTACTGTCCCCACCTCCTATTTGACATCCAGCTCACTATAGTCACGTAGGTGCCAGACAGGAATTTGCATTTTCTACACTGGGTTAAATAGTTATGGGTCACTGACAGTGTATTCAACCTTCTCATAGCATTATTATCCCACACCTCTACTTAGGGACTCCATCTTTTATTTCACCACTTAGCAACATGCATATATTGCCCTACAATTTACTTTGCCATTTTTCACTTACCAGTGTCATAATACATAACTGCTGTTCAGAGCTGTCCACTTTCTTTTGTGGACTTTCAGAGTGTCTAGTGCATGTCACTGTTATGGCCCTTAGAACATCTATTGTGTGATTCTATCTTATAGACTGCAGAAAATTGGCACTTCATGTTTGTTGAATGAATGAATGAGAACTCCTGATGAGCGTGAAAAGTCCAGTGCAGCCGCCTTGTTTTGATGTCATTCCCAGAAAAGGAAAGAAACCTGCCTGCCTAGTTAAATATATCGCATTAATGTAGACCAATATTCCATTTCTATTAGAATTTTTAGGAAAAAAATGAAAATAGTTTGAGACCCCATTTTCTACCTTGAAAAACCCATGAAGGCTCAGGGCCTGGAACACTGAGAACTCAGGGCCTCGAACACAGAACTGTAGCCTTGGAGGACAGGAGGCATGAGAGTTAAGAGTGAGCTCTGGGTTTAAATCCTGCCTCCACCGCTATGAGCTGTGTAACCCTGGACCAGCTACTGAGCCTCTTTGTGCCTCAGCTTTCTCTTCTATGAAACCATGAGAGTATTGAACCTATACCATGGGTTTGCTGTGAGGAGGAAATGAGACAAGCAGTGGTTCTCAACCCTAGCTGCACCTGGAAGGTCACCTGGGAAGTTTTGGAACAATCCTGATACCTGAGCCTCCTGCCTGGAGAGTCGGATTTAATTACTCTGCAGTGTGACCCAAACATAGGCATTTTTAAAGCTTCACAGGTGACTACAGTGGTCAGCCAAGGCTGAGAATCCCTGAGATCAGGAACGTTAAAGCTCTTGATGCATGTGCTCTGCCGCCAACTCTGGCCATATCGTGGCCGGGCCCCTGGGGGCCCCTGGGTTATGCACCCTCCTTCCACGCCCCAATGTCCTCTTGGGCGGCTTTGCGAACCTTGCGGGCATCTGCCGGGCTGTTCGCTTAGAACCACAAGGTGAAGCTTGCTTTCTGCTCTGGTGCTTGAGGGATCCTGCTCCCTTTTGAATGTGAAGTGTGTCTTTTTAAGCTTGGATTTCTCCCTCCTTGTCTCAAATGACTCTCTCCCCTCCCCCTTCCCCCTGTGAAATCAACTTTCCAGGAGCCAAAGTAAGCAGAGATTTATAGTTCTAATTGGTAGTAAATCCTGGAGTTAATCATTTGCAGATGTAGCTATTACTTCTCAAATAGCAACTTCATTTTTCTGACTATAGATCTACTCTTTCTTGTCTGGGGGTGGGGAGTGGCCACAGCGCATAGTTATTATCCTTGTATAGAACAAGGCACCAAATTAAGGTCTCTTCTAAAAGGGCCAGTATGCTGCTTCTTGGAGAATGCCTCTGTTGGAAGCACATTTAAGATCTGAGAATAAATTTCAGAAGACCAAGTTTATCATCAGGCACACACCTCCATTTGCCCAGGTTTTCTTTCTTGCTGGCTTTTCTCCTAGACATCCAGGCAGGTGCCAAAGCTTGCCTCCTCTTCCTGCTTGGTGTCTATTATATCAGTTCTTTCCTCTTTGATCTCCTTCTCAGACCCTATTTATAAGACTTATTTCCCTACTAAGCTTAATACCATTTTCTTCTTTCCCCCTTGTCCCTAACTTCTCTCCTCTGTACTACACAGGTCATCATTCAAGCACTGCTTTGACGTCTGTTCTGACAAACCTTCCTCTGCCCCGACCAGGTATTGGGGTATCAGGTAGATTGATTTATGGGAATTCTCTGAGACCCTTTGGTGTGATTATGCATATAATAATTGCTATTTAGAGCTGAAAAAGAGCCTCTGTCATTTTATCTATCTGAATACCTTCATTTTACAGAAGAAGAAATGGAAGCTGGGAAAGACTAAGTCGCTTGAGTGGCTCTGAGAAGGGCAACCCCAGCATTCCGTGTGGACAGAGGAAAGGCTCTAGCACGTCCAACCCTCCACCGCGCCCCTGCCCCGGCTGGGCCATGAACTGTGCCTAGTGCAGTAAATATTCAGTATGAGGTTAGGTCTTATTTTTGGAGTGGCTGGGCCTGAAAGGAACACGAGTATGTGCGTGTGTGTGTGTATGTGTGTATATGTGTCTGTGCACAAATGTGTCGACTGTGATTACTTTGGGAAAGCAGTCCATGGAAAACTGCCACATAAATATTTATGGGCGTTTTAATGTTTGCTCCGAGCCCCCTACAGTTTCAAAGGTGTGTTATTCTGTCTTCAAAAATGCATTTCAAATATGAGTGCTATGAGCCAAGGAGGAACTGTGTGCCTGCAGCCTGACAGAATGGGTCGTCGGCCAGACAAACGCAGCTCCTGGGTCTTGACATCCTGTCTGCCTTCATCCCTCTTGCTGGCCTTTGAGTCAACTCAGGAAAGTGGTGTGTGGCAGAGGAGAATTGGAGACAAGGAAAAATGGAAGGGGACAAAGAAACAAGGGAACAAATGAAGGGAGGGAGGGAAGCAGAGGAGAGAGAGAGAAGAGAGAGAAACATGTATTACCATCTGTCGCACATCAACAAGGGCTTTGTGTCAGAGGAGTAAACAGAGCCGCTAAAAGCCTGCTGTGTAGAAGCAGGGTGTTTTGTTTCTGCTACTTTTTTCAGTTGGCTTAAAGAACTAGCATGAGGTAGTTTCTGAAAAATCTGTGGGGATTCTGGGAATCCTGAATCATCTGAACTAGACTTCACCCAACGCCTCTGGTGCTGAGGTCCTAGGATGATGCATCACATCATTATGTCGTACCTTTCTCCCAAAATGTTCTACAGATGTTATTTTGTTTAGACTCCTCCTAGCCTGTTTGGGAATGGTGTGTGTGTGTGTGTGTGTGTGTGTGTGTGTGTGTGTGTGTGTGTGTGTGTGTGTGTGGTGGTGGGGTAGTTATATAGTGACTAACTTACGACGAGGTACGGAACGGGTTAACGGGTTACGG